ATTTATATATATACTATATATTTTGGGGTTAGGCTGTCTAAATTGCACTGTATAATATGTTTTGAATTAATATGTTCTTGGGTTTTTTTGAAATATATATATATTTATATATATATATATACATGTATTAATTCAACCTTAATCTGAGTTTCTGAACAAGAAAGAAGGTAAGCAGTTGAAATTTCATTCTAAAACCCATCTTTTTTGGTCTTTGACTTATGATCTGTCAAATTTGTAGTTTTTTTTATTGGTTTTGAGTGTTTATTTTAAAACTCAAGTTTCTTGGTTCTTTGCTCTTAGTGTAAATCGAACACATTTATGGAGTCGTTTAAATATATTGAATTTTAAACTGTCATACAATTTTTTTTCATCGATAGTCTGTAATTGGAACCATAACTCTTATTTATTTAAATTGTATTAATATGTACTTATAAAATCAGTGGAACTTCAAAATCGTTAAAATTCATGGCTTCCGCCGCATTGCGCGGGTACACAACTAGTTATTTTAATAAATTGTTTTATGAATCCGGGAATAAATTAGTTCGTTATTAAACTTCAAACAAATTATAATAAAAAAATTAAATTAAATAAATTACACAAAAACGAACTTTTAAATAGTTAATTTGATATTAATGTCACTTATTCTTTTTTTCAAAATTATATAATATTTTCAATTTTATATTTCATTTAAAAATAAAAACCACATAAAATCGCATTATAACATCGATAGACCCAAAATATAAAACGACATTAAAATCAAGATGTATCTCGCTGCATCACGCGAGTACACTGTTAATAATATAAAACTTTTAGGTTTTAATGGGTCAATCTTTGTTTCACCTTTTTCTATAAGATTTACTGGTAACACAAAAACCCATTTCTCAAACAAGCTAATCGTAATTACAACATCATTGAATAAAGTGTTCCTTTGGCTTCTCTGTCATTACCAAACCAAAGTAACACATACACATAATTCGTTGGCTATGGCTATGAATTAGGCTCCACTTTCATGAAAATACTTGCAAGATTCGTGAAGAATGCCATCAAACATATCAAATTGGGAAGGAAGAAAGGGAAGCTTATATTTACTTCTTTCCAAGTAATTCATCAACAATTGGAAACTCTGGTGTTATATCCACAGGAACCTGCAAATTTCCCAAAATACAGATCAAGTTGGGGAGCTAAACATATGATTTTGGGGGCAAAATTGGAAGCAAAATCCTGAAATATATGTGAAATACCACTATAAATCATGCCGAAAGAGCAACAAAGAAAAATGGAGCTATTGAGAAAAAGAATACATCCGCTTCCCATACTCCGCTTCCCATACTGAATGGAAGTTGAATAGTGTATGCAGGTAAGGAGGTGGGCATTCTTGTTGAATAAGTGGGAGGTTTGAGGTTCGACTCGAGGCCTACTTGCCTAAGGAGACGGGTTATTTAGAAGAATAACCTTCTGCTATATATATTTTTTAAATGCACGACCTTCTGACATAATTAAGAACGTCTCTACCTAACAAAAAAAATGTTTTTTTCCTAACACAAGAATGCCTCAAAATCTGTCAGGAGGTCATGCAATTAAAATAAAACTATGGAAGAAGGTTACTCACGAACATAACCCCCCTTGGGACACGCTATTTACCACACCCATGATGGCAGTGGGGGGCAGTCCACAGGGTGGCGTCATACCCTTTTTGCAAAATACTCCGATCATCCCACAAAAAAATTCAATGTTTGGCTACATTTTTGAATAAAGATATTATAACTAATGCCTAAAATGCCCATCAATAGTAAATATAAGTGGAAATCTACGGTCCAAAATCAATATGTTGATTTTTTTTTTCTACAAGTGTATAATATTCATATACAGAACATTAAACTAACACACGTCCCACCTTTGGTGAGACTTGAACCCCTGACCTCCAAGAAGGTGGGGTTATGGGGTACCGGTAGGCCAGTGGCCCTTTGGTCAATACATTGGAATTTTGCAAGAAAGCCATAAAGTTGAGGAATGACGGCAATTGTAGTTTACCTGAACCATTTCCAATTTTTCCAAAGCAACTTTCAAAGGATTTGTCATCACACAATATTTTGCTAGAAGTTCTTGGGCTGCTTCTTTGTCGCCTTTTGCTTGTGTCGTTAGTATAACCCTACTTAAGCTCTCGACTGCATCTTCAATCTATTAGGACGAGTGAAAAAGTTAAACAAACAAACCCAGAATATCTCACTTGGAGGTGGGGCCCGGGGAGGGTAAGATGTACGTATACTTGACTTCTACCTCAAAGAGAGAAAGTCAGATAAGATATAATTTTGAAAAGCTGGCTAAGAGTAAACAATAACATACAAATACAAAAGTGTGCAAGTCGAAGGTAGGAGTTTGGATAAGCATACTTTATCGAAGTCAACTGAGAACGTTTCATCAGGATGTAAAACAAAGGCCCCTTTCTCGAATAACCAGTTAAACTGTAGTGCCTGTCCTTTTCTGATGGAAAATTCAAGAACATCATTAAGAAAGGATAAAGAAAAGCCATTTAATTTAATTAAAAGAAGTAGATGGCTAGACAGATTACCCATGAGCTTCTTCTAACCCAAAGCGTACTGATCGGAAACAACCTGCAAGGAAAGAAACATACATGGACTTGACGAGGCTCTCTGGAAGTAAACCCTGGTCAACCAAAAGAGATCGTCAGAACTACAGATGTACAAAAAAAAAAGCATGGTCCTAGTAAGCCCGGGTTCAGACCCAAGCCGAATAAAAAACCCGATCAAGCCAAGTATTTTTTTTTCCAAGCCCAAAAAAACCCAGCCTGAAAAAGCCCGATCGAGCCCACTTTCACACCGAAAGCCTGAACCAGCTTGAGCTTTTGAAAGCCCAAGCTTTGTTTTGCTTGCTCAAAACAGGCTTAGAAGGCCCAAGCCCAAAAAAGCCCAGACCTTGTGCATCTAGTCAGAACAATAGATATCATGGAGCAGCATATTTTATCATAGTGATTTAAATAAAGTTTTAAGTTGTCAAATGGATCATTCTATTAGAACCCAAGTGTCCAACAACATAAGAACGAGTACTGCAGACTTTGAGACTATTCAAACCTAAATGCCCAACAAATCTAGCAAAAAAAAAAAACCAACTGGAGAAAAGGATTTCTAGCACCCTTTCATCCTAAAACATGAGGAGATTAAACCATATGAAACAGCAACATAAGTTTAATTTTTAATATGAAATAGAGAGAATTTTGATGAGTGATTTGGTTGAATTATATTCAATAGTATGATTGTATCATGTATCACAATGTACATTTGGTAAGCGGACAGGACTGAATTGGACTGGACGAGCGAGAGTGAGTAGGCGGGTGAAAGACTCGTGCGGAAGGTTTTAGGGTTTTAATTTGACAAGGGTAGTTTAGTAATTCACCAATTCTTGTACCGTCACGGATTTTTGTTCCACTCATTTCAATGTGATAAAAGAAGATAGTATATCAAAATACTGACCTTATCAATAAGAAATTTAAGGGCCCAGAGGCCAACAATGTCAGCTTTAGCTTCTTCCAAAGCCGAATGAAGTTCTTGTAGCTCCTGTTTCATCATATACAAGAAGAAATAAAGTGATTACACTTATTACAACACAACAATTTCATGAACTTTATCTCTCATTAAAAGAAGTGAAAAAAAAATCACATATATTGTTCTCTTTTTATCTTGCATGGTATTCAATATCAGCCGAAGTCTTGTAGTACGCATTTCTAATCAGTTGTAAAAAGAGAAACAAGAAGCACTAAATTGGTAATAAATAAAAGAGACCCAACTGACCAATCTCACAGTAGACTTCTGATCATTTGGAAGTGTTATGGTATGTGGTCCTATCCCATGACAGCATTCATGGCAAATTGTGTGAGTGAAGAAAGAGTCGAAATCCACCAGTTCCCGCTGTTCCTTTATAATACATACATCAGCTATAGGCTGAAGAATAAGCTTGAACCTGCTTAAAAGAAGCAATCTCATCTATCAAATCATTTTTCCATAAGCTAGCTTCTTTTTTAGCTTATTGAAAAATCCCAATTTGGTTAGTCATAAGCTAGCTTTTTGACAAGTTACTTAAAGTAGCGTTTCAATAAGATCCGGGAGATTTCTTTCCACTTTTTTCCCAATTAGACCCTTTATATTTTTCCAATTAATTTTTCAGCATGTCATTTTACATTGTCACATTGCTTTATCAGCTAGCTTATTAGCCAACAACTAGTTTTTCTGCTAACAGCCAGGTTTTGAACCAACTTATCAGCTAGTTTGCCAAACATAGACTTAATGGTAAGATCAAAGGTTTTTTTCTTTACTTTGCCTCGGAAACATTCTTCAGCATCACCATTGATGTTCCTCGATCGTTTACTATTCGCTCATCATTTGGAAGATTGAATGCAACAGTTTGAGGACCCTTCACATCCTGCACTAACATATAAATGATTATCTAATGCCAAAATTGAAAACAATATTCATTTCCAATTTTCCTTATATTTTCAGAAGACTCACCCCAGAATTATAAACAAGCTGCACAACGCGAATAGGTGCGGATATCACTTCTGATGATTTATAGACGGCATCAAGTGGAAGATTTTGCTCCAAAACCTACATTTTCGGTTAACTATATATATAGAAAGAGTTGACAAAGTTGAATGAAAGTGAAATCAAGGATCAATCTAATATTGCACCTGCAAATGATCCCCAAATAGCTTAACTTGATCAGTTGCTTTATCATCCCGAACTCCAACAAATGCCTCAAATGTGGCCTAAGGAGAAACTTAGAAAAGCCTTGTTCATTACCACAGGAGACGATTACAGGAAGATAATCAAGATAATAAAATGTCAATTTTTTTGGATTCAGGCTCTAATATATTTTTCTGCCAATCTCCATGTGACAGTGCAAGGGTGATGAAAAGTATGAACGCAAAAATGTGTTGTGTATGCCAACTCAAAAGTTAATGATTTTATAAGTTAGATACTGAGATATAATAAATCATAACAGTTCATGATCCACATCGAAATCAACACCAAGAGTTGGTACCAAAACCAACAAGAATACAAAATGCAACAAAAATTATGAAGCGGGCAATTTTATATTTGTGATGCTCAATTAAAGAGTTTTGTTCCCTTTATTTCAAGCGAGAGTTTGTTAGTATATGCTCAAAAACAAATTATTAGATGATTGTAATTTTAAACATCGAGTATGAATTCATTAATATAGACAGTGTATGATTATTATGTTTCATTCCTATACTCTGTATTGTGAAATGAACATGATAATAATCTTAAAATATTTTATTCACAAAAGTCTACGGTCAAGTACTAGTTTAGGCTTGGGTTGAAGTAGTACGGTTGAGACTAGCACTTGTAAGAACTCATATGGTGGATATAAAATTTACATATAGGTACAAGTTGATGAACTTGTGAAATGGACATATCTGCTATGAGAACACTACTAGGGATGTTATATGAGTGTTATAAGTGTTTTTCATATGGTCATTGTATAAACGGCATTTGATTTGATGTCTTGAAGGCTACTATGTGTGAATCATCTACTTTAATGCTAGACATAATCACATATAACTAAGTGATAGAATAGTAGTTGGGTGTATGACAATATCATGCGGTGAGACTTGCTTGATCAGAGAGAGAATTTGTTCCTCTTGTATGATGGGAGTGATGTCTCTAGGCCACTTGACGGAACGAGGCTGAAAAAAAGGCATGCATGCTTAAATAGTCGACATACAATTTATTCAATACATCCAAAGATCAAGAAACCAAAAGTTGGATTTAACGAGAATCACATGAACCATGTCTTGTGTCCAATCTAGGCATCTAGGACAAAGAGGCACGATGTATACATTAAAATAGCCACACGAATTAATTATTTGTTGAATCAATTAATTCTTGTCACTCCGCCAGTAATGATGTGTTGTTAGACACAACTAATTACTTAAAATAATAAATGAAATTTATATTATTGCCAACAAAACCGAAACCCAAAGGGATCCACACTTAGAACAGTTTTGGATAAGGAATCAATCAACCGAAGTGTTGGTAAATTGGGCTTAATAATTATTTAGTTAATTATATTAATTAAATAATTGCTAAAAAGGACAAAAGGTTTAAGGGAGAGAAAAGAGTCATAAGCCTAAAAGGAATGTTGCAATTGGAGTTTCCTTGTTTTGAGTATAAAAGGAACCTACACAACTGAGAACTCCTTCCTCTCTATCCCTCTCCTCTCTTTCTCCTATTTCAGTGCAAACCCCAAGGGTTTAGGGTTTGTGCGAATTTTATCACACAACCTTTGAAATAGTTAGCCGATTTCTCCCTTTTCCGAGAGAACAGCTAGCACCATAACGGAATCTTATCTTGGCATTCCTATGATTTGATCATGACCCAATGTTCATGTGGACACCATTAGAGGGTGTGAACATTCGAGCCTTAAGATTCAGCATTGAAGTTGCGAACTTTGAAGTCGTTACTTCACAAAGTTTGAAACTTTAATAAGGTATGACTTAGGTTCTACTGGTTTACTTTTCATGTTTCACATGGATACTTTGTTTGGGATAAGGTTAAATTTTATACTTTTGTTGCATGTATGGGTCCCGAAGTCCCAACCGAGCTAACAGTCCAAAGTATGTTCTCTTGGGGTGGGGGACCTAGCACATGTTTAAGTAAAGGGACTTGATGGTGCTACATTCCAATATATCATTACCAAGCTGGTAATGCATGAGCCTGTAAAGATCCAAGCTTTCATTTCCCTTTATAGAATATTCCATGGCATGTTAAAAAGCCATGACTTCTTATCAACTTAGACCTTTGAACTATTTTTACAAACATATTGTCTTATCATTTTTGCAAAAAAATAGGGTAGATAAAGCAATGAACAGAAGAAAAGAACAAAATATCCCGTCATTATCCAATGATTACTTTTAAGATCAGAACAGAAATTGTTAATAGGACAAGATAATCAATTTGGGATTGTGTATCCAACTACTTAAAGCACATGCAGCATGATATGCAGAAAAGATAAGCAAGGACAGAATATGAGATTACGTAAATATATAATACCTTGTATCCGAATAGCACATCTTCATAAGTCTCGTATGGGCCGATAGTAACATCCACCTTAGAGTCCTTAGGATCAGGAAAGATGCACACCATTAAAACAACATTCAACAAAAAATACAGAAAAAGTTGTATCTACTAACTTGAACAACCTAGTTTTTACAATTCTAGTGAAGTAAGCTTTAAACTTGATTTGCCTAATGGTCTATGCAAGCAATAGAGAATTAATAGTTTTCAACTTGATTTGCCTAACTTGAACATTGTCTTATGGTCTATGCAAGCAATAGAGAATTAATATTTTTTGGATAATCTCAAAGCAGATGTCGCTTCTATGAGTATTTCTTAGTTCTTTTGAAAAAAAATACAAAATAATGCATAAAGTACAAGGACTAATCCGTTATTTCTTTCATCGCCCAAAATGCAAAAGCATAAAAAATTTCAAAGTTGTGTTGCTACTTTGAAGTACCCTTGTACTTTTTCTTAACATAACATGCTTTACATAAAGCTAATTCAATATATGTGGGATAAAGGCTGCTACCATACAAGAAAGACAAGAATTTGCCTACTTTCTGCAAGTCGACATGTAAAATAGAAAACCAATAAATGAAAAGAAATGTATGTGGAAATGAAGTGGCTAACCAATTCGATCCAGGCTATATCCGAGTCATAATAGTCATTTGAAAGGAAAGCATCAGCCTTGCTATGTAGCAGTCTCTTCAAACTATAAAAAGCACGAATGACATTAAAAGCCGATACCTTCTTAAAATCCGGCAACTCAAAATTTAAGAACCCCTCTACCTAGGTGAACTTGTCAAATCGCCTGCTTTATGCAATAACTCGGCAGTTTTTGCAAGAAATGCAGAATATTCTTGAGAATAAGGGATGCTATAGAGATCACTGGCAGAACTAACTATATTATTGGATAAAAAATCTCTATGCCTTCTAACTACACTGAAAAATCCAGATGCATCTTGTTTTTCATCATCTGAAAGCCCTTTTGTCCACAATTCAAATTCCTGAGACGAGATAGAAATATGATCCACCATGTTAGAATATTTAACTGAATATCAGACCAGAGGGAGGTTCAAGGGAAAACCTCAAAAAAATGAAAAACTGAGAAACACCTCGGTAACCATTCATTTGGACGGTACGCACATGTGCATAAAAGTAACTGAAGTTGTTTCTTGGTTTTTATGCACGTGTACATGGTATTCACATGTGCATACCGGGAAAATTGCTCAAAAATTACTTGTATGCACATGTGTATACAGTCCAGATGAACGATTACCAGGGTATTACTCACTTTTTCATTTCTTTGCCAGTTTTCCCTTGAACTTGACCCTATCAGACCATATGACATTAAAAAACTATACCATTTTATCCATGTCCGGAGGATAGAAATTGGCACCAGGTGGTTTCTGTATGGGAAAGGCAGTCTTGTATTCAAGACCTTTCCACCCACCTATTGGCTTTGTTGCTTCAGGAAGTAATTTAATGGCAGAGTCTGCAGTCGTCAAAAATGCTTCATTTTCATCAAGGGAAGACCTGCCAAGGGAAATTACTTTAACTCAATGGTTCACCAATGATTGTTCGACATTTCAAAAGTGAAAATCAACATCCTTTGTGGGCATTGTACATATTTAGTCATTGGTCACAATGTTGGGGAATTTGGTATAGGGTTCATGAGAAATCACATTAAAGACTTGGATAAGAATCTAAGATGTGTAGAAAAATCACTTTCCTTGAGTAATATTTCACCGATGTATCTGCCTAGGTTACATGAAATTTTTACTCGAGGATAATCTCAATTTTCACACTCTCGATTTAGGCAGAAATCGAGAGCAGTAAACACAGAGAAATTCATAAGGGTTTGTGCACTAAAACCAAGAATGAATCTACCTTTAGAAGGTAAATGGTTACTGCAATTGAGCAGTTATTGAGCGATTACAAGAGATTACAGAGCAGTTACAAACTAGTGGCATCAGTGGGTTCTGCCCCCCTTTAACCGTGCTAGGGGCGTGGCCCCCTTGACCTCTTCCATATGGCGACATCTGGTGATCTCGGGTTCGAGTTCTAGATAGCTTATACAAGTGTGCACTACGCACCTCCTAACCCATATTATAGCTTAATTGCCAACCAACCTCTTCGTTCTTTTGTGAATCCAATTAAACCAAAAGGCCAGATGATTCACTGAAATCACCAACATATGGTATAAACTCAATGTTGATTTTTTATCTAGTTTTGACCACCCAGTGTAAATTTAGTAAACATTTTTTATGACACCATCTGCATATTAGGAAATTGTAAGATAGTTCCCCATAATAAGCTCATTGTTTACCTTGTGCACAAGTAGGTGCCATGTCACCCTCAAATGTGCTTTTCCAAAGAGGATTAAACATCATTACTTCTAAGAAATACCATTGTAAATGTTCAACAAGAATTTTTTTATTTCAAAAGAGGACTCATTTTGAGTTGGCATATAAGGAAAAGTGACGCCAATTCAGGTTTAAAAACAGATTTCATGATTTCATTACATTAATAACATTGTTCTGAAAAATACCACTTATGCTAATTTTTTAAGTGGATGGTTAGTTACAAATTAATAAAGGAGGATAGTTATCAAAGATATGAAGATGATATCTTATCGGAGAAATCTTACATGGCACTTGTGGAGGAAAGGTCTTACCATGGACTTTTGTTTATTGAATAATAAAGCCATTTTAAATTGTCGAATTGGGACATTGAAGCACGCCCCTTTAACCATTCCCTAAGAGACGGATTGCTGCACCAAACCTGATTCAAGAACAAGCAAGAGCAAATAAATAACATTCTATCAAAGCCTTTCACATCCATCAAACTTATTAAATTACATATGCACCAGATCAATATAACCAGAAGTTGGTATGAACTCAATAAGACATACCTGCTGGTGGAAGATGTCATCCATCATTCTTGCAGCATGAATGAGTAAAACCAGAGCTTCCTTGTCCCCTTCCGTCAGGCCTGTCAACTGTGTCATACAAGATTTAGATAAAATTCCGAACTTCCAGTTCCATTACAGCATACAGGAATGATCAAATTTATACAAAGGGACACGCCATAGGAGGTTGAGATGATATATATACACACACATATATATATATATACACAGGCCATGTCGCCCGCACGCCCTTTTGTCGACCGTTAATGTAGAATCACAAGTGAGTTTGCACATGATTTGGCCGTTTTCGTATTCTCTTATTTAGTTACTATTCTCGTTTGATCCTCCCTCTCTCACTCTCTATCTCTCTCTCTCTCTCTCTCTCTATATATATATATAGGGTTAGGTTCAGGTTCAGAGAAAAACCGCAAAAAAAGAAGGAACTGAGGGACACCCTACCATTCATCTATATATTATGCATATGTGCATACAAGTACTTTGTAAGTAATTTGTCTGGCATACAAATGTGCATAACATGCACACGTGCATAGAAACCAAGAAACAGCTTCAATTACTTGTATGCACATGTGCATATCATATAGATGAATGGTTATGAAGGTTTTCCCTTGAAACCTCCCTATATATGTGTGTGTGTGTGTATAGGTGGAGGTTCAAATGAGAACACCTCTGTTTTACAAGAATGCGAGAACATTTATGGACCTCCAAATTACTTAACTCATAATTAAAATTAAAAGAAAATAAACTAATTAATTAAGGATAATCATGTGATTTTCAATTTATCTGTAATTTTGGTGACATCCTTATCTCTAAAATCACATACATATAATATGTTAACCGGTATTAAATAATTATCACAACAAAATCACATAATGAACAGACAGAGCAATGAATGTAGATGTGATCATCATTGGTTTTCAATTATCACAACATTATCACATCACTATTACAACAAAAATCATATAATTATTAGATGATTATCACATCAAAATCACCTCATAAAAAGTCTTCAACTTATCAAATCATTATCACATTATTATCATGGTAAAATCAGATAATTATCACAATATTATCACATCATTATCGACAACAGACACATCGACATAAAAAGTCTCCGATGATAATAACAAAATTTAAGAGATAAGGATAAATCTAGGATAACAAAAAATTATGGATAAATACCAATTAATTTTCATTTATTTTAGTTTTTATTATATGTTAATTAATTTTGAGGCCTAAAAGTATTCTCGCATTTTGAGCGATCAATTGCAAACCACCCTCATTTGTGAAAACCTTATGTATAATAAAAACTAGAATAAATATGTATGTAATTAATTGGGGCTACTTTTTATTATATGTTAATTAATTTTGAGGCCCGATGTATATATATGTATGTATATATATGTATGTATGTATGTATGTATGTATGTATGTATGTATGTATATATATATATATATATATGTATGTACATATATGTATGTATATATGTATATGTATGTATATATATTGGCATGTAAACGAACTGAACGTTCAGCAAACTGTCCATGAACCGTCGGCGGGAAGTTCGTTTATTTAGTAAATGAACGAACATGAACAAGTTTTTTTTCGTTTAGATAAACGAACGAACAAGAACAAATGTCTTGTTTGTTCATTTATGTTCGTTTACTTTCGTTTATTTATGTTCGTTTAATATATATATATATACATACATACATATAAACTTTTATTTACATATAAGGAAATTTTAAATCTTGAAACTTGGCCCATAAAGAATTAAATACATTTTTGGGCTAATCAAATGTGGGCCTTTATTTAAATTTAGTCCATTACTTTATTTATGTTCTTTTATGTTCATTTAAAATTGTTCGTTTATGTTTGTTCATTTATGTTCGTTCGTTTAGCATCTTAACTAACGAACATGAACAAACACGAACATGCCTACTTTACAAATGAACGAACACCTAAAATGTTTGTTCGTTTAATGTTCATGTTCGTTCGTTTGTTCGGTTAACTTAAACGAAGGAATATGAACAAGACCCCATTCGTGTTCGTTCGGTTCGTTTACAGGCCTATATATATTTGTGTATGTATGGATGAAAAAAAAGGCTTTTGTGGCATGTAGATGTATGAATCCAATCTGTGAGGGTTTAACAGTACCCAAAAGAACGAAGATAGGAGAATACAACCTCTGCACTAAGTGAGAAAGGAGCATAACGGTTTAGCTTTTTTTGAAGATCCAAACTCCGTGCTTCCACATCACACTGGTACCTACAATAGTTTAACAAAGAAGTAGAGGTATAAGCAAGTATGCAAACTATTCAACTTGATAAATTAGGATTGAGCTGGACTTGAAACAATTATGGTTCTCCGATTAGACAGGGCTTATTACACTATACCAGCTGAATTCAAACATGTTTGTGGAACATGGGTCAGCACTATACTTATCCCCAGTAACTGTCTGGCTTATTACACAATATAGAAAATTGAAGCTTATCATGCAATTCTCTGAATGGTAAAAACATGTTTTCAACATGGTATTCTTTTTTATTCATACAAACCACTCATAACGCTTCAAATGCAGTTTCAATGAAGACTTTATCATTCCAAGAATATCCTACAGATGTAAGAAAATAAGTAATCTTTGTAGTCCTTTCATAGCAAACAGTACATCCTTAAAGTTTCCCTATAGCCACATTTTTCATCCATGTGTTATCAGCAAAATATTCCAAACCTGAAAATGAATAAGAGTGCCCGCATGCTTAATGATGTACCTTTTGTTAATTATGTCAAATAGTTGACCATATTGTCCATCTACATTTACTGGAACATACTGAGGATCTTCTTTAACAACTGCCTGCTTATACTCCTCAATGGAAATATATTTAACCGCAGAAACTTCAGATTCCTAGACAAAAGGAATGACCACATGTTTAGATTTCAATTGTTTAGATCAATCAATGCTTATGCAGTCTAGCGAACTAGCGATGAACACACACACACACACACATATATATATATATATGCCCAGAATAAACGACGACTGAATTATCCATCACCTGAAGAGTAAAAGCCTCCAAGGGAATTGGGTCTACTGTTGTCACCAGATAAACATCATCGAATTCGTTATTGATGAAGTTACCGTTATTTGTGACACTGCAATAACATGCAAAGACAATGAATGCATTTCATGAACAAAAATAATAGCATTTAATCTCTGTAGAATAAGAACAGGCACAAGCAGAAACGAACAAAAAGTAACAGAAGAATACAAGTTGGCAGAACATTATGAATTTAAAGAAAAAAACTCACTAAAAATACTAAAATGATGTGTGTGTGTGTATATACATAGTGAAAATAAGTAAGAAATCAACACATAAACGCATTTGACAAGTGAAAGATGATCATTCTACATTAATATACACCTAAGAAGGTACAACTTCCAAGTCTTTTTTTATTCATTTCATCGGAGAAACGATACAGAATGGAATACCTTCAATTGGCTACTACAAACCATCTTGATTCTTTTAAATAATCATTCATTGCATTATATTGAACCAAAAGCCATTATTCATTTTCATTCCCAATTCTCACCCCTTAATACCCCCAACCAAGCACCTCCTTCAGTGGCAGAACACAAGCCTTCTAACCATGATGGCCAGAACTATTCTCTTATATATTTTCAAAAACACAAATCACATTATCAAACTATAACATTCATCTTAAAACTCTAAAACAAGACATTTAATATGAAAATGTCAAACATCAGTGACGGTGATTTTCAAATCTCCTCAAGTAGGATTCGAACCTACGACCAATCGGTTAACAGCCGGATCTTTCCTATCAAAATTGTTTGTTCTTGGATATACCTACGCCTATCATTTTCGTCAAAGTGGAACTCGTCAATCTTTGGCGGCTTTGAAATTTCGCAGAATTTCCTCCAAACTAATCTTAGCACTTTCCCATTCGATAAACAAAACCAATGAGTCGTTCAAAAACTTATTCTTCCATTTTATTCCTTATCCTTGTTTTCATAATATTCATTTCTAAAATGACTTATAAAAATAAGATTAAAAGTGGTTTCTTTTCTAGTCGTTACCAACCATTGACACAGTTCTAAAATAGATTTCAATTGCTTATAATCTGCATTTTGAACGACATCCATATCATAACTTAGAAGTTGCATCTTCGGAATTATTTTCTCATGAAATCTTTAGGATAGAACTTCTCTACTAACCGAGTCCCCCTTAGTAAAAAAATCCATATACAACAAATAAGGTCCCTACTATCGGATAAGAACAGAAACTTATAAGTAAATTGGCAGCCAATCAACGAAAGTCTACCTCTGTTGCAGGAAAACAAATAGTAATTCAAAGGCATCCATTGGCAGGGTTAGACCAAGCTCTTCTTGAAGCTCTCTCCTGCAAACATACAACTTTCAAAATCGCCACAAACCATTCGAGATGTGATTGGGGGGGGGGGGGATAACTTTCAAAAATAATATCCAAAACTTCCTCCCGATTTCTTGCACAAACAATTATAAAACCTATTTCAAAGCTTCTTATCATAAACCAATACTCGATTTCATACGATTCATTAGTTATATCAATAATTATCCCAACCAGTCAACAACTTTGTCCAAAAATTGCTTTCCGGAGAGTTCAATAATTTACCTGGCCGTGATAAGGGATGCATCCCCAGCAGATATATGACCAGCACTAGAGATATCCCATAATCCAGGCCATGCATCTTTACAAACAGCCCGCTGCTGGAGAAGAAGTTGTTGGGTACTTTCAGCAAAAATCCACACGTGAACAGCTCGATGGTAATCTCCATCTTTGTGAACCAATCCCCTGTACATCCGATGAAGTAACGGATCAGACAAGTATCATCATTCATTTCAATCCCAAAATAGATTTTCATCTTTTACTTACAAAAGTTGAAGCAACTTCTTTTTAAGATCATAAAAAGGAACCATAAACAGACAGGCCCAATGTCTAATCATAGCAAAAATATATGAACAGTCTAAATAGAAAGTAGAAACGAAAAAGTATCGAGGCATCATAATCATGGAGGATTATGAGTTCTAGCACGATCAGAAATCCCTAGAAATATATCAAAGAAAAACCCTTAACAATTGTGATCCTCGTCCAACATATACTCCAATGACGTCAAGCTTATCACTCTTCACATGTGAATTTGTTATGGATAAGCTTGAAGAAACTTAAGACCAATTCTACTTCAATCTGGAGAATCTGTTTGGAACTTCCACGCTATCCAAAATTTCTCCAAAACCCAACAAAATACCCATCAAACAATAAGAAGTTTTTTACAGAAACTCTCAAGTAGTTGATTAATGGAGGAGTAATGAAAGCCAAGACCCATTATATGTTGATTACAAGTGAAGTTGTCCTGAGATTCAAAATCGGAAATGAAAGAAAAGAATTAGAATATGAAAAGAGTAAAGGAATCTGACCTGGCTTTGGAGAATCCAGTTTTCTGACCAGTTTCAGTGAGGACGTCGAAGTGTTCTTCTTCAGTAGTATTGCCCATTTCGTTGTATGGATGCGTTTCTTGTGTGCTTGCTTTCAATTCAATGGAGTCTAAATGTCTGTATGATAGAGATGGGCAGAAGAATCTTTACAGAAAATTGCCACCTTCCCAAATAAAGAATGTCTCATTATAGTTCGTCTTTTAAAATGAGTATATTGAACGTTCTAAGCATTGACCCACCCTAAAATACGCAGGTTTTTTTTTAAAAACTTGATAATTCATGGAAACATTCAATTTTTTATTTTAAGACATAAATTTATATTAAACTAGTTGTTGTGTATCCGTGTAAGACGACGGGAGCCGTGAATTTTAACAATTTTGAAGCTTCATTGAGTTACACTTGGTTTTACATATTAATACAATTTGAATAAATAAGAGTTATTGGTCCAATTACAGTCTATCAATGAAAAAAACTGCATGACAATTTAAAATCCAACATATTTAAACGACTCCACAGTTTTGTTTGATTTACACCAAGAGCAAAGAATCAAGAGATCGAGACCGAGACCGAGAGTTCTATAGCAATTGAATGAGAACTTTTAATAACTTATGGTGAATATCAATTTGAATATCACCTTGAGGGATGGGGAGAAGACATGGAGGTGATGAGAGGGTGAAGGCATGAGTGGAAGGTGTCAAAAGTATCTTGGGAACATGAGAAGAAAAGGTAATAATGTGCAAGTTGTTATTTTAATTGTAGATTAAGAGATTTTAACACTGAATGTATAAAGCAATAGTAGTTAATGCATTATGAGTTGTTTTTAAGACTTTGTGCATAAATGTATAATACTTTGGGCATTAAAAATTGTTTTTAAAACTTTTGATAAATCTGGTTTATAAGATAATATAGATTAAAAAATTAGTAATTTTGATTAATAAAAGAGTATTACGGGTATTTACAAATTTCGTCTCTCTTATCATCATCGTCAATATATTATACAACCCTACGACATAAATATTGTGATCACATTCTCAACACCATTATTAAAAGATTGTTGTACTGCCTTACAATATATAAATACTGTAAACTAGGGCCAACATCACACATTATGCACACTCTGCAAATGTTGATTTTATTTTATGGTGAGATGACAATGTGCACACCTAAAACCAAAATCGACGGTGGGTCGTACAATTTGGCAGAGAAGAGGTTGGTGTTAAGTTCACCAGAAAACAGGGGAGGAAGTTGGGGCACGACTTGATCGATCCTCGACTCACTACGAACCATCCCACCATGTCCACAGCCCAGTAAGGAAGTGGGTCCACGTAACGCCACCTAACACAGCCACCGCCACATCCAGTGATAACCATCATCGTCATCAGTCATCACCAAGCTACGGTTAGTAGTAATGGAAATTCTTGTTCTAACAGTCGTAATGAAAACGATGCTCATCTTTCGCTATATAAATGGATTCCTCTAACAATGGCTGAAAAAATAGAACTCAAGAACAAGTTTGAGATTGGTTTTGGTTTTGGTTTTGGTTGGAGGCTGCACCATGGAAGATAGATTATTTTTAAGGTTTTGAAATAACAAGTTAAGGAAATTAGAGACAAACCATAAATAAATTATAATTAATTATACTTTATACTCTTATGATTAGTTATTTAATTTACTTTACATGCTTTATATCGCCTGCTTGCAATTGCAATTGCACTTGCAACACAAGAAACTAACCACTTTGAAGAAATTCCAATCTGATATAATGCATAACCAATGGATGAGATCGATCCGATCCCATCCAATCATCCATTGGATTGAAAGGTAAATATTTTAAAAAAGTTTATACATTGCTGATGTAACACCATATGGTACACTAACAGAAAAGGTTTAAAAGTTTCATGCACTAGAATGCCTCTAGTTTTACATTAGAAGCCAGCCACATTGACAAGTAGGTTAAAATTTCGACCGAAACCAAAAAGTGATGGCGGTAGCATATAACCACTCAAAACAGGATGTCGTCTATCCGCCAACACCATATTTCAGAGCCCGAAATCCACAGACAAATGATATAACAAAATTTCAAGCAGGTCTTCGTTACCACAATCAGCTAGACTTGACAAAGTGCTGTGACAACAACTTGGCAATCTCCAAGAACCCAACTTGCTCCTTCCCATTAAATATCGTCTTCAATTTGGCATCGCATAGGATCTCCTTCTTGTTCAATGGGTTCTGCACAGTTCACAGATATATATTAATGTAATGTGTGTGTGTGTGTATATATATATATATATATGTCATATATGTCAATCTACAATAGAGCTTATGGACAGTTCTACAAGAGGACTAAATCAGCAAAATCAACTGGGAATGAGGGATATATAATCACAATGATTAACCTTTTGAAATGCTACAAACAAAACCATCAATCTTGTAAAAGTGCAAAGAACACTACTTTGCAATATTGGGTGATCTTGGGCAAAAGTGTCTACAATGTCATGTTTGCATTTTATATCCACAGATTCATCCAAAATACCCCATGTGTATGAATTCTTGTGCTTTTGTTTTTGCATTCCACGATAAAGATGGTACGCTTGATGACAACCAAGAACAATGGTTGGAAAAATTTATAGAACTACAACACCATGAAGGGGTTGCACTTAAGTTTATATACTTTGAAGATATCATGAGAGTTAAAAGAGCTATGAAATCCTCATTAACCAAGGGAATCGATAGTAAAAAAAACTTCCTGTTAGAATGAAAATGATCCTGTTCATGCATACTAGACATAAACCTTGGCTGCACATCCGAAAGAAGCATAAGAAGGCATGCTGTTTTTGAGATTATAAGCATTTAATCTGGAAAATTATTTATTTCTCCGAATCCACATTATTTGAAGCCAAAAAATGTTCAGAAGTTATTTCAGAGAGCTTGATGAAGTCATGAGTTGATATAACCAAGATAAATTGTTAATATAACAAACATATACACCACTGACCGCATCATTATCTATAAAAACCAAACCAAACCAAACCAAACCAAGTATATCCCTCCTTAAGGTGGCGTCAGGTTAGGGTAAGATGTAGGCAGACCTGTTCTCTACCTCAAATAGTAGAGTGGATGTTTTCATGACGACCCCTGGCTTGTGAAAAGTGTGTCAAATATGAGGATTGTTTGAGAAAAGATCAAGCTTCCTGGGCACAAAAACTTTTGCATTGAAAACTTCACTAAAATGGAGTCACGATGATAATTTAGACAGAGACATTGACTATTTGTGTAATTTATTGTACGATATATTTTCCCTTTGGTGTTGGAAAAAATGAAATATTGAAAAGCTGTCCACTCTTTACGAAGCTTTTCAAGTTTTAGTTGTTCGAATTATCTTACACTGTATACATGCATACATTCATGAACATAAAAATACAATTTCAGTATCGTATTATTCTCTTGTAATAGCATCCAGTAGCATTCATGTAAAACCAAGTCCATCGGTTATTTATATAAGAACAATGAAAATACATTCTGGTCTATATGAGATTGTAAATCCCACAGCTACCAAATGCGAAGAAAAATGCCATATGAACTAGCAACGACTTGTTAAGAAAATAAGATGGGAAAAGTGTGGCTGATGATAAGTGCATAATGTGTTCACTAGAACTTGCATCTACTTCCTCAACGAACGCCTATTATTTCAAAGAATCAACTTCTAATTTGTCTACACAAAGAAACATCACTAAAGAAACAATGGTTCAATTATCATAACAAAAAGATCACAGCCCCTGTAAGGGTATGGGCCAAAGAACTGGCAAGTGACTCGAGGACTTTAGGGCCAAAGGACTGGCAAGTGACTCGAGGACTTTAGGGCCAAAGAACTGGAAAGTGACTCGAGGACTTTAGTGCCAAAGAGACACTTTGAGCACCAGGGGTTGCGACCACAGGCCTTCGAAAAGAAACAAATATTCAGGAAATTTTGGGATCTATAACACAAAAAGGAAATATATGCAACTCTGGCTTCTTTTGTAAGAAGGCTTGAATCACAGAGATCAAAATTTCTACGATCTTTAAATTGATGATCGGGTCAGTAGAACCCTTCCTTGGCAGCCATAGCAAACTACTAAACAACAGAAAGCAGGGTCACATAAACACGAAAATCAGGTAGAAACCAAAAACAATATCAAGTTTCTAGGCATTCAATCAGACAGTGTACATATTTTATAGGAACATGAAATAAAATGATAAAACTGGAATCACGTTTATGAATCACCTGGAGGTTATTGTGCTTGATGTATTCCCAAACTTTCTTCACAGCGTCGGTTCGAGAGACTTCCGTGACGCCGAGGAACTCTCCCAGAGATTGTGACACAGGTACCACTTTTAGAATACCGGCAGGGCGGCCCCGCTTGGGTGCGGTGGCAGTGGCTGCGACGGTGGCGGAGCTGTTGGCGGCTGCCATCAAAACTCTATAACCTTGACCCAAAGCCCGAATCGACCACGCCATTTTTGCGCGTTTACTTCTCAGAATTCCTCGATTTTCGCAAAAACACTCCTGTAGAAAAACCCTAGAAGTCGATGAAAATGGAGGGAAGCCAGTAGTAATGCGTTTGAGCTAATGCTTATTTTTCCCTTTCTCCCCTGATTAATGTTAAAATTGCAAATACACCCCTTGAACAAGCCCTCATATTCATCAAGGAACTCTATAGACTCTATTTAAGGAGTCTTTGTTGAGCAAAACAAAAAAATTAAAAGGCTTTTGAGCTCTCTATCTTTGTGTATTTTATATATTTCTTCGTAATTGACAAGTGATATCAGAGTAGAATAAGTATTGAAACTATATAGATGGGGGTTGTTGGGGGCAGGCAGTAGGGGCGGAGCTAGACTAGGGCATCGGATGGTAGCTGTGACGACTACAATGGTAGGATGGTGGTTAGTAGTGGGTTGGAGTAGGGTAAGGTGGGGCGGGGGGGGGACAAGACAGTTGGGTAGGTAGCAGGGTGGTAGTTGTGACGATGGTAGTGGTGGGATAGTGGTCGGATGGCTGGGCCTAGGAGTGGGTGGATATGACGACAACAATAGCCACATGTTGTTTAGTGGTGGGTTGGGGTAGGGTGGGGTGCGGGGTGAGTGGCGGTTATGAAGGCGACAATAGGGGTGTGGGGGTGGGGGGTCTTAGGGGTAGGGCGGCAGGACGAGGCGGTGGGGATGGGTGGCAGGGTGGTAGCAGTCATGACGACGGTGGTGGCATAGTGAGCGGGTATGACGACGACAATAGTGACATGGTAGTGAATGGTGGGTTGAGGTAGGGGTGAGTGGCAGTTGTAACGGCGACAATAATGGTATGATGGTAGGGGTTAGGTTAGGGGCGTGACAGTAACGGTAGTAGCATGGTCGTAGTAGCGATGTCCAGTGAGAGATCAGGGGATGGGTGGGTGTGATGACAAAGTAGTGGCATGGTGATTATGGTGGGTGGATGGGGGCGATAGTAGTGGCATGGTGGTGGTGGGGGGTTAGGGATTGGGTATGATGAACAATAGTAGCATGGTCGTGGTGGGTGGTGATGGAATTTAATTCTTTCCATTATGACTAGGGATGATTAATTCATTAATTTGTGGAATTTACATGGAATTCGAAGGATTCCATCCATTTCAAGATATAAACCAAACAAAGGAATTGGAATTTCGTCAAAGGAATTTGTCATTCTAATTTCATCAAATTCTTTCGAATTCCGCAAACCAAATGACCCCTAGGGTCAAAGGATATAGATTATTTGATCCCAAGACAAAGAAAATAGTCGTAAGTAAGGATGTTGTATTTGAATAACAATGTTCTTGGGAACAACATCCTTGGGAATGGGTGTCAAATTATAAGGTACAAATAAAAACGACTTTAATATGGAAAGATGATGAATATCGTGAGAGTGAAGAAGGAATAGAGTTTGAAGAGAATGATGGCGGGATATATAGTTATATGGAGTTTGATAGTGGAGAAGAAACAGCGAGGAAATGACAGGCACCAAGGGCCTGGTAATTTGTGTCGATTTCAGAAACCATAAAAAAATATTTGGTTCAAACTCGAATAATAAATAAATTATGTAAAGGAAATGGTGTCATCTTAGAACAAATATTAAAGGTAGCATAATTTGGCTCGCCACAACTTGCTTAAGACAACCAAAACGCCCTAATTAAATCCCACACCACCTCTAACGTAACCGTCTCACAACCATATGTTAAAAAGGAAAATTGCAGTATCTTAGAGACAGGTGGATGGTGTTCTAATTCAAACTGTAACGACCCCACAACCAATCATACGAAAGAAAAATCGACAGGTTGATGATGCCCAAATTCTAATGCACGAGTCCCACCAACGTTCACAAGGAAGGAAAACCATGGTATCCAAGACAAGAGACAGACAGGCAGATGGTGTCCAGATTCGAACAGTATTAATCCCACGAACATTCAATGAGGGAGAAAAAACCAATGTCCCAAAAGCGGGTGCGTGATGTACAGATTTGAACATGAGACCTCACGGATTCCACCTCCTTACCTGCTATCGCTAGGACAATTCAGTTGGGACTTTACAGATTTTTTGGAAAAAAAACAAGAAATATAATGACAAATTTGACTCATGTGAAGCATTCCAAACCTTGGCCCCTCTTTCCCTTTCTTTCCATCTCCCAAAGGAACTTAAATCAACACAAAAATGTCTAAACAACAGTATACAATGTGGTTTACTACAGGTCTCAATGCTGCATGACAGTATCAATCCGTACGTCTACGGTGACGGTGGTGGTGGTGGTGATGCCGGCGGTGGCGATGATGTTCGTGCCTTCGTTGCCGATCAGAGTCTGAACCCTCGGATCCATCATGCCGCCTATGTCCGCCGCCTCTGCTCCTCTTACGCCTATCGACCTCTGAATCTTCCGATGAACTTGAATCGGACTTTATTTGTTTCTTTTTCTTTTTATGTTGACTTTTACTCTTCTTTGACCTCCTTCCTGCATCATCAGAGCAGGAATTGTCTTTAATGGTTGGAGGTGATTGTCCTTTGTGTTTTCTCTTACTACTGGACTTCTTTTGCTTGCTTGTAGAGAAGTTGGCTAGCAGATTAGGGATAACCTCCTCGCCAAGAAACCCTACACATAGGAGACAACACGATCTTATGCAACGTACAATTGTCTTCAGAAATTATACAATATATGGATTAAGCGGCGAAAAGTGATCCCGATACCAGCGCATAGAAATGTTCATCGGTTGAAATGCAATGGATTTAGATGGAACCATCCGATCCAGTCATCCATTGGATGTTAAGAGTTTGCGAACCGATTCAATCTGGATCAGGTCGGTTCCATCCATTGGATACTACTATCGGTTATCCATTAAATCAGATCGGCTCCATCCAATATTTTGATCCATAACTTTCCAACCAATTAATCCACCATAGAACCAATTATTCATATATTTTCCTAATTTCCTTATAAATAATTCATGCAAATATCAAATAGAAACAATATTGTAAAATATTATTAATTATATATGTTTGATAATTGGATGGTAATTGGTTTGGGTTTGTTCGATTTTATTGGATTTCGGACCACCATCCAAGAACTGACTGATCCAATTTGGATGTTGAAATTTTGGACCCGATCCAATTATGGTTGGTCGGGATCGGATGACTGTCTGCACACGTTCTCCTCACTTTCACGAGTTATGGTGCTTATGGATATAGGTATTTGTACCTTGCATTTTTGCAAAGTGGCAGTTTCCCTCACTCGAGCCTATGACATTAGTCATCGAGGAGGATCATCATTTTTCTTTTATTTAATTTCCAGGACAAAAGAATGTGAGGATCACCTCACAAGTTACTAGTTTCTCAGATTAGGGAACGTGACAAAAAACGATGCAAATACCGCATAAACACATCGTTAAGGAATATTCCTAACCATCAGGCTATCAAATTGAACTCTATGGACTCGATATTACTAGCCATCCTTCCTTATTTGCTTCAGGTTAAAGGCAGATCCCAACCTCCCGAGGTCAAGGGTTCAAGTCTCACCAAAGGTGCGGAGCGTGTGTGAGCTTTGCCATATATGATTATTATATATACTTCAAAAAGAAGTAACGAATGTACAACTAGATGGGTACACTTACACTAGGATCTTATGGCCTTGGTAATAAATAAACAAACAAAATACAAAGAGTAGGAAAGACAATATGATGGGATTATGTCTCTATCGTATCTTATTTTATTTAATCTAGAATTTATTATTATCTGGTGCTACTTGTGTATGTGCGATTCTTTTTTAAATTAGCATACCTCCATATTCATCGAATATGTCTTCTGCAACAATCTGCTGGTTTGGATCATCTGGTCTGAACCCGCCACGAGGTGGACTCATCCCAGGCTTTTGTTTCAACTCCCACTTAAGAGGCTGCAAAATGAAATAACATCTCAGAAGCAACACTACAGTAATTTACAGTGATTAACCTGCAAACTTAAAAAAAAATTAGTTTCATGATATTATGTGTCAAGAGTGAGAAATGGTGCACCAACGATCCTTAGGTATGCAGGGGTCAAACGGAAGTGTCTGTAAGCAGCATTTCCCTAATTTTTTTGCAAAATAGGCATTTTTCTAGTAATCATGCAAAAAGATAAAAGAAAAATAAACCAAAATACCATGCAAAACAATGGCGAATATTTGGTAAGATGATACTCTCTCTGTCCCGAATAAGTGTCTATATTACTATTTTAGTTTGTCCCAAGAATAAGTGTCCACTTTCAAAAGTAAGTGTCCAATTCACAATTCTACCTTTAATAGTGAGATGGAGGAATTCATTACTCCCTCTATTATTAAGGGTAAAACTGTCATTTAATAATTTGAAGTGCAATAATTACACATTTCTAAAACTGTGGGGCTTTTCATTGTAGACATTTATTTTGGGACGGAGGGAGTATATGACCAAGGAGAAAAAGTGATGGTTAATGGTTATATGCAGCATTTAAAACCTGTAGGAAGTAAAAATCATTCCTTTATTCATGGAAAAGGAGAAGCAAATGGTGAATTTTACGGAACTCGGGCAAATGGTGAATGTTTACAGAAGGCAAATGGTGAATGTTTATGGAACTCAGCAAATGGTTGAATGTTTAAGGAACTCAGGCAAATGGTGAATGTTTACGGAACTCAGGCAAATGGTGAATGTTTACAGAACTCAGCAAATGGTGAATGTTTACGGAACTCAATCAGAGAAACAATCATAAAGAATGGACAAAACTAAATGAAAGATGCAGATTGATCCAAATTTTTACGGAAAACTCAGGCACATGACATGAATGAATACAATAAAAAACAGTTACATGAAGCCATATGTGTATGCATCAACTTGATGAGTTAAGAAAGCTTAGCAGACCACAATCGCCAAAGCCTACATACAGACTCTTATGACAAGCTCAATCTTCTTCAATGTGAGCAAGATGCATACTCTAACTAAAAAAAGATTCTAGTTAGATTACAAGATGCAAGCAATATCTAAGTTTGTTTAAAACATTTGAGGCCTATTGGAGGATACAAGAACAACATAATGTACATTCCAACTCAAATAAGTTACTCCCTCCGTCCCAAAATAAATGTCCACGATGAAAATGGCACACAGTTTTTATTATACTTTTTAATCAACTAAATGACAATTTTACTCTTAATATAATAGAGAGGGTAATGAATTTCTCCATCAAGGGTAGAATTGGAAAGTATGCACTTACTTTGGTACAAACTAAAATAGCAATGTGGACACTTATTTTGGGACGGAAGGAGGATACTTTAGTGGTCTATAATATGCATTCACCAGCTTCAGAAGGTGCAAGGCCACATGCCTGAACAACAAAAATTGTCCCTTGAAGCAATTCAAGTATTGACCCCAAGCTTCAGACAATCAACTAAGCACATTCAAGGTATAATATCAAAGTTCATACAAGAACGGTTTTGTTTTGCATAAAGAGTGGAACAACTACCAAGTGTCTCCTATTTCCACGCTGGCAACTACCTCTCATCAAGTTATTTATTTTGGTAGCTATTGCATGCACAACTCAAGTGAAGGTTGGAATGAAGGATGAATACTGAAAGTATGACCCCCAAGTAAAGTCATCAACTGAATGGAACCCAGAATCAGATCTTCATTTTTTTCCTCGCACCATATAAATGGGACCCACACTCCCACACTACACATATGTTAAATGGTGAAAACAGATATGACCTACTTACTCTCACTTAAAACAACAAAACATAATCATGTGCTATCTTCATTGGCATTAGCTTACATCCGACATCATTCTGCTGCAGAGGTTCAAAGTGGCTCAAAAGTTGCCCTAGATTTGACTCATAGCACACTGACCAGTGACCAGAAATAATAATCAATTTGACTATATTTCCGTTAATATTTACTAGTATGTCACTAAGTTTAACAATGCTTTCTGCAGACTTAATTAACCAGTGAAATAAGTCGCATTTGCATAACATGGCTACTACAACAACACTTTGTCATAGTTACCATATAGATTCTTGTGCTACATAAATAACATTCAGCTATATCTTAAATTGCATTAAACAATCCAAACTACCAAACAGTTTGTATTTGTAATCACCTCAGATGAATCAGTTTGAGCTATGATAGCCGTTAAGGGATCGTCTCTTTTCAACCGACTCTCTTCATTAGGCATTATAGCATCCTTCAATGGACATTCACGATCACCACTTTGGTGGCCATAGGCCCCGCATCTGACACACTTTACGTTCCGTATTTCAATGCCAAATGGCTTTGCCCTTCCAGCAACACCAGTCTCTAGCCTGAAACAACGTTACCAGTTGAATTATACAACCTTCAATACTATAGCCATATAAAAGTATTCCTGTATAAGATGAAAACAAAGATAATACAACACATGCAGGCACTGCTTCCACAATAATCAAGCAGTGGATTTAATTAATACTAGGTGGGTTATGCTAACAACTTCTCATGTGTAAGCATTAAACCCAGAAAAATAGATAGTGTTGCAACAATCTGATACACAGTTTATGTATTTGGTGCGCACAACACGTATTGCCTACATGACACTTGGAAGAAGGTTCAGCTATTGCTATATTAAGCTAGTGTACACACTCATGCCTCGTAGTAAGCAAAAAACAAACAGGAAAAGAAATATTCCCTCTAAATCACCCATGTGATAATACAAGTCAACTGTCAAGATCTTTTTATTACTAACCTGTGACCAAATCCTCTCATATTCTTTTCCAGAAAGAAAGGAGCCAAATGAACTTTAACCATCGTGTACTCACCCATATCAGTTTTAGTAAGCCTTCACCTTTTGCATGAATTATTTTGGGCTACAGGGCATATCGTCCAAATGTCCAATTTTGTATCTTTATAATGTTTGATAACCGTGATTTTTATAAATTAAACTATATCTAGTTTCAACATTAGATGATTAGAACACACTCATATATCATTTCAGAACATCAATAATTAAACACATAGAAACATGCGATGATTTTCTCATATATTGTCTAGGAACACCAACAATGAAGCACACAGAAGAATTGAATTAGAAAATGCCACATAAAAAAAGCTAAAAACAACTGAACTTCGAACCAAGGAAATAACTCCACACCAAAACAATATTAGAAGAAATACACACAACCAAGAACATTAAGGGGTCCACATCCACGCACACATATAAGACCAACTGACACCTCACAGAGCATCCACCCAGCAAAGGGTTGTAAAGTTCTCCAAAGGTTTTTCCATTTCCTTGTATCTTCTAGTGTAAACTATTCTAAAATAATCTTGATATTTGTAAGGAGGTGGATATTTTGTAAGATGAACCTAGGAAGCTCCTAGGCTCTAGAATACTTGTTCTAGGATGTTCTTAGATACGGAGATCCCTGTAAATAGATGGAGTCTCCCTCATTAGTAAATCATCAAAGAAAATAATTCTATAATAAATACAAAGTAGGTACGTGCCTTTCAAGGTTCTTGTGTTCATTCTTCCATCCAAATCCCTTCTCCAGTATTTCAGGCTATCTAGAACTTCTAATGCGCCTTGGTGCCAGAATTGCATGGGTGGTTAAGGCCTAAACAATAACCCTATGACATTAAGGTACATATATCTTACCAGTAATTGTGTTCTAGAATTTGGTTTAGATGCAAGAAATGGTGATCTAGTGAGTTGCTAACTTTAAGAAATAGACAACCAAAAAAAGTAATGCATAAAATCACCAATAAGTCACTTCGGCAAATAAGGTTCCAATACCCAAATCAAAACACCATGATATGAAAGATTTTTGAGAGAATGGAATGAATCAAGTTCCATTGCTTGTGCGAAAATTTGGTTATCATTGGTGTTTATTTTGATAGGGGTGTCGAAAGTCTTCAATAGATTAGCTACTCAATTCCTTTATCAAATGAATAAGCACTTTGAAGCCTCTCTTGGGCCTGCTAGCGAGCAATTTTAATTCCCATGGCATTAGTTTGTAATGACTAAAGATCCAAACCTACCTCAGAAAGTATAATTATAACACACGTCACTATTCTCGATCATCACTTTTTAAAAGAAACCTCCAATAACTCATAAAAAAGCAACATCTCTCGCCTCCAACTCACCTACATACTCTCTCTCATACACATACAGCCACAGGCATAGCTCTGGATTCCCACAAGCTTCTTCACATACTCCTATATAACACCACTTAGTCACTTCCCTCACCTAACACTACACATGTTGTATTTCCATTTGTTGCATCAGAGCATACAAGTATAAAAGACGTCATAAATATATAAAGTAACATATATATCCTCAATGAAACATCAAAACTATGCTATAATCAAACAGTAACTGGTAATCTGGTACTACAATGTAAGCACTTCCCATAACATCCTCTCTCAAATCAGTTCACATAAAGCAGAGCCTATATGGTAAACCACAACAGGAACCTAATACAACTGAAACAAAACATTATCGTGGAAAAGCAGGAAATGGACCTTGGGGCATTTTTAAGGGCTTCAAATTGTTCTTCTGTTGGTAACACACGGCCAAAAACATCTTTAGGCCTCGGCTTCCTCTTTTCCTCATTGGGGGGCATAGGATTTTGCAACCTGCAACAGAGGCATAACCATAACTGATTTGGCATTACAAAATCAAAGCAATACATCCAGTAATCATTTAACGTAACCATAATCAATTACATATGAGCTTCCCCTGCCTCCACTGAGTGTGAACCCTCTGAGGGTTCCAGAGCTTTCTTCTCCTCAGCAATCTCTGCAGCTTTGGCACTTTCGGGATTATAACCAGGGGGTCGGACATACATGAAACTAACAGCTTTCATCATCTCCATCTTCAAATTTACATGTCAAATAAAGATCAAGTCAAACAGACAAATCTAACATGAAATTTCAAATCACTTTCACACATACACCAAAACAAAAATTCCACATCAACCAAGATCTTTCCATCCTTGACAAAAGAGAGAGCCGTTTCTCTTTAAATCTTCAAGAATAAAAAATTATACTCAAATAAGTGGAAAATAACACGACGTTGAGTTAACACTTCCAGACCCAGTATATCCATTCTATTAATCTCGAATTAGTAGTGTAATTGGAAATATAAAAATGTAAACTTGTACTCCCTCCATTCCAAAGAAAACAAACGTTTAACTTTTTAGGCAAGTACACAATCTTCAAATGCAAACTGATATGAGTTTGAGATAAAATACAACACCAACATTCTATGATTTCTGTTGCTTGTAAGTTGTAATACAATCTGATTTGTAATCACATTTTTCTACAAAAAAATCGATCATAAATTTCAATTTTAAAGTTAAACATCAACTTCTCTGACCTTTACAGTTAGAATATACCTCCTTATTATGTAACCAAGCAAATCACAAATTTCACTCTTTTGAACATAAGAAAGATGTTAAACACTAATTTATCCTTATTACAAGCAGCAGAAAATCAAACCAATCATATTAATAAGATCTAAGCTCCCAATTAGTCTTAAACAATGAAAAACACAAAAGAAAGCACATGCAAAAACCTCACTTTTTCCTTCTCTTTCTTAGAAACAAGCGCAGCTTGGCGAAAAAACTCCTGTTCCTGAGCATACTGCATTACAAATTTAAAAGGTTACACATTAGGGATAAAAGACAAATGGAGAATTGGGGAAATTGACCAAACAATCAATGAGTTAATGAATTAACCTACCTCACGTGAAACTTCTTCGGCACGACGTTCTTGTTGGGCGTGAGTCTGTTCGGCAATCCACTTGCGGCGTTGGTTAGGGTAGGAGAGCGGATGCCATGGTTTTTGATTAAGGTAAGAGTGAGACCAAGCAGTTCCAGCCTTGGTTTTGTAATCAACTTCTCCATCGGCATTTTTGTCAGAGAATCGCTTGCTTAACCTTGGTCCTCTTTCATCATCATCCATGGTGATCTTCTCGTTCTTAGATGGGTTTTTTTTTTTTTGTTACTGATCGAATGAAAAAGTTGCAGCGGGGACAACTTCCAATGTTTTTCTCAAGATTTTGGCCACATCTGATGCCGATCTTGACCCGACCCGAATGAAACCCGTGTGTGTTTTTATAGTAAATTACAAGCTTCGTCCCTATGGTTTGTGAAAGATTGTTATTTTCGTCCCTATGGTTTGTGAAAGATTGCTATTTTCGTCCCTGTTGTTTTAAAATTATCTTTTTTATCCTTATGGTTTGTAATTTATTTTTGTTTTCGTCCAAGAGATTAAACTGGTTAAAAGTCCTTCATGAATTTAGGGGTATTTTAGTCTTTATATTTTTTTGGTATTTTAGTCTTTTTGATTTAATAAAATTATATATTTTTTTATTAAAAAACTAAACCATAGCCTATAGGGACGAAAACCATAGTTTACTCTTTTTTTTATAAATGTGATAGCCCGGGTCAGTTTGCTAACACTTCAACTAAGTTTATGAGACGCTAAAGTTAAGAGTGAGGCAAAAAGATATAAAATCCAACAAATGTTGTTAATCGACTGAACCAAACCAGTATTGTTCAGTCCGACCAGTTTTGTTAATTTGACTGATTTGGTATGAAAACTTTTGTAAGGAAATTTATCGGGTTTGCCGATATTTTACTATCTAAATTGGTTGTAACGATGCAAACCCACAACATTCTAATAACATGAAATCCACCTAAAATTGTCTCAAAAGTCCCAATGGTAAGTATAGTTTAACAACTGCTGAAATTATTACAGATGTCTTTAACGCATTATAATAAAAACTCGATTTCATAAGAAAATCTAATAACCATTTCAACTTCAAATCTTGGGTCTCGGAGTTTGCTTTGCCCTCGCTACGTCCTCCTACCTAAAAGTGATCTAGAATGCATTGTTCTGAAATAGAGAGGGTTAGACCTAAGAGGTCTAGTAAAACATTAATTTAAAAACATAATGATTTTAAATGTATGATCAAAGAATCATGCAGATTTGTGAAATACCACATTGTAACACCCGGATTTTATGGGTACAACATTTTGAGATTGACGTTCTTTTATGGGTTTTTGGAGGTCTTTTAGTGAGTGGAATGCATTGTGCCATGAAAAAAGTTGGTGCATGTGAGTTCTGGTAGAGAAAGGGGTGTACCGGGAGCCAACAGAAGGTTGGGCCACTTGTCTTGCCGGCAAGTTGCGCAACTTTCTGTTCTGAAATTTTGTGGTTTTTGTACACGTGTGACTATCCTCACGACTTAGGCCACGGGAAAGGTCGTAGGAAGCTTCTGAAACATCTTTTAAACCCGATTTTTAGGGTCTTTCACCCATTTATTCCACCATCTTCCCTCCCCTCTCTCCCTTGGCAATTTTGGATCTTTGGAGACGTTTTTGAGCAAATGAAAAGCAGAACCTTGGAGATTGAAGATCTATGATGGGAGGCTTCAAGATCTGACGAGGTAGTGCATGGGTATTTTGAGCTCTATTTTGGGGGGTTTTATGAATCCAAAAATCTTGTTCATATTTGGTTTAATTGTAGCCATGGAATGTGACCTTAAGAAATTATTGGGAGGATTTACTTGTGGATTCAAGTCTTCACCTTTTGAAAGCTAAGGATGGGTCTGGAATCTAAGTTTAACATAACCTAGTAAGGTGAGTTCAAGTTGCTTTGTGAAAACTTTGTACATGCCAAAAATGTATATTCTAGAGTCTTAAAGTGCTTTTATGATTTATCAAATCTTGTATTTACTTGATAAAATTGCATCTTTTGCATGTTTGGTTTAATGAATCTTAATAAATACATACATTTAGGATCTTTGGATATTTTGATGATAAATCATAAATCATAAACTTCATGGGATTTGATGATTTATTTTTCATATGATGATTATTTGACGTTAATGCATTTTTGGATATTTTGATTTTATAAATCATTCAAATAATATCCATGATTTGATTTGTTGAATTTTCTGGAGTTCTGAGTCATGAGATTTATTGAACTATTTAAATGTGTTTTGGGTTATGATGGCTCATTTTGGAGTAGTCTGATAAGTCGAAGAGCCTATTGACTTGGATTTGAGAGAAACACTCGTTTTGGTACTTTGGCCCGACCTTTGAGTTTGTGATGATGATTTTCAAACCTTTTGGTGTAGAAGTTGCTTAAACACTGAGTATTTGTAACTTATTGGTTTATATTGACTTTATTTGAATAGTCAAGTGAGTTGTGGAGTGTATTGGTTTGATTTTAACTCGAATGAGTTTTGGGGACATTTCTCTATTTTAAATTGCTTGATGTTGAGCTTTTGAAGTGATATGCAGTGATGACATGTTTATCTGGAAATTACATATTTCGAGTATGTTAGTCATTTAGCTAGTGTCGTTTAATTTAGACTGTAATGTAATGGATCAATAGGCAAAGGAATCGGTTTGAAAAGGATGAATATTCATGTTTTGTATCGTGCAATGGGCATTGGGTCTTCTTATGCAATATGGTGTGTGCTCCGACATCGACCATTGACCAACATAATATAATTTATTGTGAACGAGCTTAAGTAGGATATTTGATGAATCCACAAGCAATAGACCTTGAGTGGTTGAGCTTGATGGCTATATAAGCGATAGACCTGAAGTGGTTGAGCTTGATAACTCATTAAACTATAGACTTGGAGTGGTTGATCTTAATGAATGTATAATCCGTAAGTGATATTCATATAACATAGATATGTGACCTACTTTTATGTTTTGTCACGTTCAATGGAATCGAGTCTCCCTCGTCACCTAAAGATGAGTTTTCAGATATGATATTTTATCCATGTTTTCGTGTTGTTATGGGTATGAAGAGTATCCAAGATTTGACGCTTCAAAAGCTGCTTAATGTTCATATTTGGTTGCCTTTGGATACTTGAGTTTTATTCATGTTTCTGATATTTGAACATCAAGTTTTTTTTTTGGTTGTATGAGTATTGGGTTTTGGTTTCATATAAATGGGTGTTCTGATTTATGAGTTTTCATCATGAAAACTGTGGGTTTTAAAAGATGTTACTTTTACGATAAACACATTTCATTTGTGAATTTGTGATTTACATGAGCAATCTTTTAGTTTTACTTTTTTATGATTATGATGAAAAACCGTTTGAACTCACTAAGCGTTAAGTTTAACCATCTTTTATTTGTCGGCATGTGTATCAGGTTCTTTATGAAAGGCTTGACTTATCAACTTCAATATTAAATCTAGATTTGTTATTCAATCTAAATGTAACAAACTCGGCATGAACGAATGCTTGCTAGAATTAATCATCGGGTTGACAAGAAACAAATTCTTGCGCACAAATATATTTCTTATGGGAACGAGTATGGTCTCATGACGACATCCACACCCATTGTGTGAGTTAAACCGACACACATACAATTGATAATCAACATGCTTGCATACTTCTACAAATGCGATACAAATTTCATGAACATAACTTACCATAAAATAATTCATGCATTCAGATAAGAAACACACATCAAACTCACTCGAGGTCCAAGTTTTAGTTTTGCAGTTGTAAGACTTAACGGTCCCCCATTGACGATCACATGTCACAAATTGCCACTTGATAATTAAATTATAATTTATTTTTCTTTAAAACTTACAGATGATCGTTTATAATAGATTAAAATTGTCATAGGTGGTACGACCCATTAGAAAAACGGGTTCGAACAACCTCTTTCAAAAGAATGGGTAGCCTTAGGTTGAACTGCAAAATTTAAAGGGTAGACAGTAGTGATGAAGAAAAAAATTCAACAGACTGCTTAATTCGTTTTATTATTATTGTTAATTAAATTTTATATAGTTAATATTGTACTGTTTTTTATGGAAAAAAGAATTAGGGGCTGTTTGGCAGTTGTTGAATGGTTTGGTGCAGAATGATTAAGTGGTCAGAATGATTAATAGGTTCTCATGATATAGTACAAAAGGAAATATAATTGTTTGATAATTGTTTACAATGAAATTATGGCGCTTAATGGTTATGGGAGGTCCATGATACAAAATCATTCAGAGTGTTTTAGAACCATTAAGAGATAGATTTTTTTTTGCCAAACAAGATTCACCTCTTAACGATTCAAAGGTTATCTCTTAATGAAACTATTAAGAGGTAAACAAACAACCCCTTAGAAGTGATTTTGAGTTGGATCCCCTCTACTGAGTATGAACTACCTCCCAAATATATATTATGTACGATATGTCACATAGTACATCTTCAATCTCGATCTTAAAATATTAGGTATTTTTGTTCTCGAAAAACTTGGGCTTTCGAAGTTGGTTAATTGTTGGAGAGGAAACGTCCACGTTCTATATTTTGTTAAACTATTTTTACGCTATGTACAATAATATGTTTTAGACTTTTACGTCTTATTTTATGTTGGTAATAAGAAAATTATGTAGTTTGAATGATTTTACAGAACTTGTAATTTTATAAAAAAAAATTGCTTTTTAAATAAAAAATAGATCTATTAGCCCGAGGGCAGGTCTAGCCTTTTTTTAGGGCTGGTATGGGCAATTTCTCAACCCCGTGAAAATGGGTCCCACAAACGATCATCTCTACCAGAAAATTCATCTGGTCTGCATTTAAATTTGTAATCAATTTACTGAATTAACTAGACAAGTCCTTAGTAGTCCCAAATTCGTCTTAATCTTAGAATTAAGATAACTTATTAGCATAAATATAAAGTTTACAAGTTCAGGGGCACAGGGTCTCAACGTCCCTTTCTTCTTGATCACGAGCAAACTTTTCTTAAGTTACAGTTTCAACATCACTGAGTCAATTTGTTATTGCATATGATATGAGCAAGATTCAGTACTAGCCAATCTATACGAATGACAATGTCAAATTGTGAAGGCCCATAGATAGTAGTTGAACCTCAAATATCTGGCCATCAGTTTTCCAGCACATCCATCATAACACTCGTACTATGGTGATGCTTATGTCGTCGATTTTCATCCCAACCAACCAGTTAATGGCTA